GACTCAGGGAAGGATGGTGGAGCCTGGAAGTGACCTGTGGGAACTGGGATTAACTAGAAGTTGGTTCATAGGACATTTGACTCTTCTCTATCCCTGTTGTAGAAGGACAGACAGCAGCAGTCAATCCCCAGGCCAACAATCAGAAGATTCTGCTCCAAAGACATTTAAGAACCTTAGATCTAAGACCTCTGCATTCTGGCATTTAAGAGTTCTCCGTAGGATTACCTAAAAACAGGGCTCACAGGCTGATAAGCTCCACTCACCAACACGAGGCCACAATCCACTCTTTAATGCCTCCTTTCCTGAGTGAGTCTAACCCATCAAGAGTCACCAGACAACAGTGGAAAATCTGCAAGTTGGAGAAGAGAGATCAAGACAAACAAAAATGACCTCAAAGATACAGAGATAATACAGAGAACTGAAGAAAACTTTTAATTTGATTTAATAAGTGAAAGGCAGACACACCAAAGCATTAACGGTGGTTATCTCGCGGCTTTCCTTTCTATAAGCACCATGGCTGAGACGGGTGGTCCTCACACTTCGGGGCGTGTCAGAATCACTTGCAGGAGAGGGCCTCTGTCTGTGTATGTTACCAAGTTCCCCAGACCACGATTCTGATACGATCAAAGTTTGAAGACCCTGGGTCTGGCTAAAAACGTTAAAAAAATACAGACAGCCTTGGCTGGGTGACTCCATAGATTGGAGCATCATCCTGTATACCAAAAGGTTGTGGGTTTGATCCCCAGGCAGGGCACAAGCCTAGGTTACGTGTTCGATCCCCGGTCAGGGCATGTGTGGGAAGCAACCAATCACTATTTCTCTCTCACATTGATTTCTCTCTCTCTCTCTCTCTCTCTCTCTCTCTCTCTCTCTCTCAAATCAATAAGCATGTCCTCAGGTGAGGATTAAAAAAAGAAATACAGGCAAACAACTGCACTGGGCTTCATCACCCAGGTCACAGCGAATCCTATCTCAGAGGGCTTCCCTCCTACTACACTGGGTGGGGCGGCTGAGAGGTCAGGCAGGGTGTTACGAGGGCCTCTCATCCCTGTAACAGCAACCAACCGCTTAGAACGGCAAAACATGACTCCCATGTTGAAGGGGGAAAGCAGCTTTGCTAAGCGATAACTGTGGCTTCTTTATTGTTTTTCTTTTTATCATTGTCCTTCTCTGTCTCACGGTTTCTTCCTTCTGCAGCGGATGAGAAAGAAGGTGGGCTTCTGAGACTCACAGAATGGAGGTGAGACCCTCAGCTCCACACTTCAGGGGGCCTGGTGTAAATTAGCCACCTTCTGGCCCTCAGTTCCCCCTTCGCCCCCCCTAAAATTGTTCTGAGGAGACTGAGTGCGGCTGAGAGGAAATGTCCCCGTCTCACCCTCCACCCACTCCGCCAAGTGGGATGTCCCAACGCCGCAGACCCAGCTGGCCTTCTGGCGCCCAGGGAAGGCACTGGGGGCTCCCGCCCTGCCCTCCCCACCTGCCTTGTTCGGTTTACCCACATTTCATCACGTGTCACCAAGCATGGCTCAGTTGTGGTCCAAGTAACTGTCAGGGCCAAACAGGGTGTTCACTGAGGGGGAGACCAGGGAGGGGCATGAAGGACAGAATAGCAGGTACAGAATTCCTCGTTTGCCCTTTGGATCCTCCGAGAGCATGAAATTTTTAGCTAAAGGCACAAATGGTTCGGCATAGACATCCACCTTTGAGGTGTGAGTAATAACCTTCTCTCCTGATGCTTTTTGCCTGTGTTAGCCACGGTGGGCTCAGCAAGGCTGCGGCCATCAACCTAGACATTCCAGGGCCTAACACAGGGGTTTATTATTTTTACTGAGGAGAAGTCTGTTCTGAGCCAGGGGACTTTTCAGGGCAGCTGAAAAGTGGTGATTTAATGAGTCAGGGTACTTCTTCTTTGTGCCATCTCAAGGTGTGGCCTTCAGAATGGCCCATCCCCGTGTTAGAGGAAGAGCTGGAGGGCTGTGCTTGGCTCAGAAGTGATACGGGTACTGCCACTCCCAGCCCACTGGCTCCAATTAGCCACATGCCCCAAGCTAACGTCAGGGGAGGCTGGGAATGCTGTCTTCCTGGAAAAATAAAATAAGATTTGATGAAAACATAGGATTGGTTCTGCCACTCAAACAGTCTTCCATTTTTTTTATAAATTTAAGGCAATAATTGGAGGTGAGTGTATGTCCCGTCTTGAAGAATATGCTGTTAGCCTAGGAGGGCCCTCTGAACAGTATTGCCATAAACATGGAATTTTTACTTAATGCAGCATTTCCCAAATGTATTTGGTCACTGAGCCTTTTTTCCCTGTTATTTTCCCTGTTAAATTAGTGTTATAAGGTGCAAACTTGGGCAAGTTCTCCTGAGCGAATCAGCCACGAGCCTTGTTTCTCTCCCTTTGCACTGGCCACACCTCAGTGCATGTGTGTCTGGAACATGAGACACCCCCACCCCTCGCCCCGACCCCAGAGAACCAACAGCCCACCCTGGGACCCAATGGTCACATCTGCCCACGCCTCCCCTCCCTCCCCTCCCTCCCCTCCCCTCCCTCCCCTCCCCTCCCCATTTCCTATGATTCATCCCCACTCAGGAACTTATCACAGGGAGGGGTGAGCCTCAGTCAGATGTACTTATTTGGAAGGGATCTGAGTCCAACCTCGGACCCCCAAAAATAATTTCTTCCTAATTTGCTCAGGACGAGGCGCTTCCCGCCCGTTGGGCGCCCCGCCACTGCCCCCACCCCGAGGCCTGGCACTCACTCCCTTACGAAGTCTCCTTCCCTGGCCGGCTGGGCAGTTCAAGCTCTGCAGCAGCCTGTCCTCCTGGAGCTGGGTCTGGCTTCCAGGACGCTGCTCCTGCTACTCCAGCTTAAACACAAAGCCAGTTCCCTGTCACATGACAGACATCTGAGGACCCAACAGCTCTGTTTCTTCAAGCGTCTGTGAGTTTCCAGGCCTCTCACAGCCCTGCCCCCACAACCCTCAGCCCCATCATTAATGTCAAGGCAGGAAGTCCTATCATTCTTTGGGTTTCGACTCAGCATTCCAGTTTCCTGACGTCTAGAATCTTAACTGGGTCACAAATCATGTTGGTGTTAGTCAATCTTTCCAGCTTTGTCACCCTCAGGCACACTCGATGAGCACTTCTGTGGCTTCCTCCAAATCGCCGAGCAGGCCTGGGATGGGGCAGGGGAATTCACAGAGGCAGAAGGAGACAGCGGGGAAGAGCCCTTACTGGGCTCACCTGCCAACCCTCTCAGCGGCCACATTTACTCAGCTCCTACCCAGCTGTGCTGCCCCTCCTGCTTCTCGAAACTTGCCCCTCCAGCCCCATCATCTATCTTTCCTTCCTTCCTTCCTCCCTCCCTCCCTTTAAAGATTTTATTTATTTTAAGAAGATTTTATTCATTTATTTTTAGAGAGAGAGGGGAAGGGCAGGAGAGAGGGAAACATCAATGTGTGGTTGCCTCTCATGCGCCCCCTACTGGGGACCTGGCCTGCAGCCCAGGCGTGTGCTCTGACTAGGAATCGAACCGGCGACCCTTTGGTTCACAGGTTCACTGAGTCACACCAGCCAGGGTTCATCATCTTTAAATATGCTTTCCCAGGGTCTTGCCAGCCCTGCTCCTCTGCCCACAGCTTATTGATCTGGGCTCATGACCTGGATTTTGGCCTTGCCAAAGAGTCTCATCAGTCTCTCAATAAAGTGAAAGATATGAAGGCCAACGATCGATCAGGGCACAGGATGCCCCAGCACAGTACTGAGCCCAGAGGGAGAGCAGGCACTTTGGGCTCTTACATTGGCTGTTGTCGTGAAGCTAAGGCACGGGTCTAGCTCACATGGTACCAATGAGACAAACATAAAGTGCAAATAGGTGCATTCACTGATGGAATACAGTTGTGTTTATCTGTGCATATATTTAATAAAACAGATCAGACACTAAGAGAAAACATCACCTTTGCAGCCTAAGCAGACCCTGTCTCAGTGCGCCAGACTATGGCCCTGGCTCATGCCAGCGTCTCAACCACCTGCCAGGCTCTTCTCTCTGCTCTCAGAGGCAGCTAAGGGTGTTACCAGCTGCCTCCCTCCCTGGCCTGGGCCAGCTTAAGAGGGAGACACAGCCCTAGCTTCATAGGTGTGTAGGGAATCTAGGAGCTGTCTCTGTCATTGCATCAGGTGACAGGAAGCGAGCAGGGCCAGCATCAGCCTGCAGCACCTCATGCTTCCTGGGATTTTGCCGGGTCCTGAGCTGTAGAGGGTGGGAAGGTGTGTCCATGGTCCTCAGGGACACTCCCATACCAACTGAGGTTGGGGGGATAGGATAGTGGTGGGCGAAGTGGAACGAGCCAGCCTCGAAGCAGTGCCCCAGCTAAGCTGTCCTGGAGCTGGCGGGCCCTTGGGTGCCTCCCTTCCGGCTGGTGCAGGAGAAAGCAGAGCCTCCTCTGATCTCACCCAGGGCCAGGGGGAGAAAGTATGGTGGCAGGATCCGGAAGTCCAAGCAGACTGGCCACTGAGCTCACTCCTTGGCATGTAGAAGGACGGACTGTGCTTCTGACTCGCTCAGGTCACGGCCTTCCCAGCGCTGCACTGGCCATACCTCAGTGAGTTTCTCTCCTAGGCTTCTTGGTCCCGTATCCTATTCACTGTGTATGTGTCCCAGACTGCCAGAGCCTAATCCTCCCCATGAGGCCAATATGTTCCAATGCGGTCATCTTCCTGGAATTCAGCTCCAGTCAACACATTGGGAGATTTCCTGCTGTGTTTCAGAGGATCTTTCCCCACAAAGAGCCACCATGGAGGATGAGTGTTCCGGCCTGTTTCCTGCCATGCTCCCAGCTGGCAACTGTACCCTCAACCTGTCCTCCTGCCGGCTGAGCCAGCTGCTCACCCTCACCATCCACCCCCACCCAAGAAGACAGCCGGGGACAACGCCCCGGTCTGAGAATGGGGGTCAAGTCTTAAAGAAGATGAAACTGCTTCCAAATCTAAAACTACCTTTATTTGTGGTTGGCTCAACATAAGACGCCATCATCAATCAGCAGAATTATAAAACTGTACAGGAGGTACAAAAATAGGCCATTTAACTTATATAATTACCCTCACATCATCAAGCTTTAAAAATACACATAAAAATTGTACAATCTGGCAGTTTCATAAAATATAAAGCTAAAAAGGAGGATTTTAGGCTCCACAAAGAGGATTGCATCACACAATTAACACACATTTAACAATTAACCAGACACAGAAGACACAATGGCACAGAATTTTTTTTTTTAAATCACTTAAAAATTAACATTTTTGCCACGACCAAATTATTCACCGTTTACTAACAAAACTACAGTAAGGCGTCCATCCTGTGGAAGGATGCAGTATAACTTTTCCTTTTCCAGTTTTAAAACGGTCAGGGGTGTTGTCCAAAACAAATCTTATGTGCTTTAAGCAAGTGCAATTGTAACTGGATATACTTCAGAGTAAAAATTAAATAAATATAAATAGGTTAAATAAATAGGGAATTGCAAAAAGAACACTACATAAGGTTTGCATGTGAAAATGCTGCAGAGTTGACTGGTAATGCTAGGTAAGTGGGGACACCCCCGTCACAGCTTTTGGGATATGTGGAAAGGAACACTGCACCCACCAAACACAGGGAGAGCATGGGGTGGGGGAGGCAGAGGGGGGACTTGGGCCGGAATCATTGGTTAAGGCCACTCCAGTGGGAGGCTCACTGCAGATGGTTCTTTGTGGTTTTCCAAGGAACACAGAAGAGATTTAAGTGCTGCTACAAAAGTCAGAACCAGTTACGCATGGGAAATCACTGTTTCATAAAGAAAGTACAGAAGAGTAGACACTTTGGTTTAAAAGATAATGGTCCAACCCTGGAAGGCAGGAATTTGGCTCATCTATATGGGATACGCAGTGACTTCCTTCCAGGGAGGGCCGATGCCAGGTCCCACTCATCCAAAGGACAATCCAGGGTGGCGACGGAATGGCCCAGGGAGAGAGATGCTGAGAAATAGGAAGAAAAGGGATTTCAGAAACTAAACAAGCAGACAGAAAGTTTGAGAATTTAAAGGGGCTTTTCAGAGGGGCACTGGGCTTTCTCTTCCAGTTATTGCCAGCACCTTCTGCGAGGACCTCAGTCAAGGCTGCAGATCCAACAGAGCCAGGGAATGGGAACAGGCATGGGAAGCCCAAAGCTGGCCAGAGTCCAGCTTCTGAAAAGACAGCAGCCAAGAGGAGAAATCTCCACAACCCAAAGGCCCACCCCGGCTCTCTGCGAGAGGTCAGATCAGCACCCAATGCCTCTTTTACTACAGCAGGAAAGAATTGCAAAGGTAAATAAGTCACACCCACACAAAACCCTATCAAAAGGATCGGGGTTAATGCTGATAGAACCTTTCTTGATGGGAAGAAAATACTTTGCTGGACCCACTAGGCCTGTGGATCTTTCATTATAATGCACGTAATGAGTCAAGTGACGTCTCACTGGAGAAAACCCAGGATGACTATTGCACTGAGACTAGGGGGAGGGGAGGACACCTTTGCACCCGGGATGTTCTACCTTGGCAACCAGATGGTTTAGTGATGTGTCGAGTAACACCGGTGATTCCCAAGAGTGCAAATGTTCTGACACCTAGTGACATGCGGAGGTCTTTATAAAGTGAAGTTAAAAAGACTCCAGAAGCAACAAGAGAAATTCTGGCAGGCATGCCAAAGACAGATTCAACACAAGATTTGAATAAATTATAATGTCCTTGGGACTCCAAACAGATGTGACCAAATTCTGTTATGCAAATAAAGAATGCAAACTTCTAAAAAGTTCATCAGCCTTCTGGGAAGCATATTAAAGGTCGAAGAGCTCAGCTGTACGACAGGAAACCCAAATACTAGAGACTGGATAACGGGGTACACCAGAGGGTGCTTAGGGTGTTTCCAAGAGTCCACCCAGGACCTCTTCAAATCACCTGAAGGGCTGATGAGTGACTGGGTCCAAAAGGTAACGAAGAAAAGACAGAAAGCAACCTGACCCATCCTGATGAGTCCCTGGATGCAGGCGGCTTTATGACTAGAGCGGCGCACGCCCCAGATGCACGCCCTTCCCCATCCCCTGGGTGTTCCTCACAGCACTGGTGTTCATTTATTGTCGTCTCTCACTAGAGGCTCTTATGGAAGCAGGGTTTGCCTGTCTTGTCCACCTTTGTGTCCCTAGCACTCAGGACCGCGCAGCTCACAGGGTAAGTGCTCAGACACAATCTGTTGAATAAGTGAGTTTGAGAAAGCTGGGTGGTTAGAAATGGATATGGTAAGCAGAAAATGCATTTTTTTAAAAAAGTTGTCCCCTAAAAAATCAAAATAAAAAAATAAATTTAAAAAGTTGCAGGCAAATTGGGCCAAAACAGAGAGATGACGAGTACTGGACAGCTTAGAATGACCTGGCTACTCTCCAAAGACATTCGGCAGTGAGACAGCAGCAGAAGCCCTGGCAGCACAAAAAGCTGACCATCCCATGAAGGCACTTGTGGCCACCTTCTTGTCCTGTCTCCTGGGCTGTCCCCGCTCAGACCCGGTGGCAAAGTGGCCCGCAGAACGTAGCCACCACAGGCCAATCACAGAGGGGAGGCGAAGCCCATCTGGCTCTTCCTGAAAAATGGACGGCATGGTACAGCGCACCATGAGGCCACCCCAGGACGCCAGGGGTCCAAGGTCTAAATGAGGTAACTGATGAGGTTGAAGGACATAGGATATGATTAATTTAAGAGAAATAGTGACTGTAGGCATTATGAGAAGAAGGGAAAGGAATCCCACAAAGGCAGAATGAGAGCCGAGGATGAGTGGCCTTCACATACACGCACCCCAGCAGATATCTCACAAAGAGGAAGAGCAATTTCTCCATCAGTTCGCAACTTGACAGTAATGCCGAGTTTACCAGGACCGAACCGCAGTGGGCCGCTCACCCTGCTGGAGACAGCACACAGAAGCACTTCCTTATGTGGTACCCTGATTGCATATAACCGCTAAGGCTCTCTTGGTAGAGAAAAGACAGGAATTCTTGACTAAAACTAAAATTAAAAACTATACTAAATTTAGGGGGGAAAAACCATGGTATTGACATAATTTAGGGACTATTACTTTGAAGTTGTTTAATACATATGGATAGTGTTGCTATAATGCTTTTACTTTTCATCAGAATTAGAGGATGTTCTGAACACGAACACTCTTTCTGGGGGTGGATGGGGTTTCAGGTACCACACAAAATAGATGTATTGCATTTCTTCTTCATGAGTAAGCTTCAAGTTAAGTTCAGCGTACTTGTGCTAATGTAGCATTCTACAGTATGATCAAAATATAAAGTTATTAAAATCTGCCAAGAGAAATATAAAATCCTGCCCACACAGCACATAGACACCCTGGCCTTGGCTCCTTAACCCCTCAGCCTATCCTGCTGGCTCCAGGGACAGAGGAGACCTATCACCTACCCTCTGGCCCAGGGCTCTCCCGGGGTGGCCAGGTGTGACTAGAGCGGCGCACGCCCCAGATGCACGCCCTTCCCCATCCCCTGGGTGTTCCTCACAGCACTGGTGTTCATTTATTGTTGTCTCTCACTAGAGGCTCTTATGGAAGCAGGGTTTGCCTGTCTTGTCCATCTTTGTGTCCCTAGCACTCAGGACCCGTGCAGCTCACAGGGTAAGTGCTCAGACACAATCTGTTGAATAAGTGAGTTTGAGAAAGCTGGGGTGGTTAGAAATGGATATGGTCCATTAGGCCTGCGCACCCCTCCGGTCCCGAAGTCCTGACCCTGTCTGGGTTCCTTGATGGCCCGGGAATTATCATTTCTTGCCGCAAGGGATCTAGGGATGTTAAATGCCCTTAAACATCCCTAAGTGGTCTGGGCACAAAGCCACCAAAAAGCCACCATTCAGGCCGCAGGTACACTGGGCTGCAGCTGCCTCGGAACAGAGCGTCCTCTTCACTCCCGAGACCCGCAGACACGGCCTCACTCTCCTGCGTGTGATGCCGGCCCAGCCCGATGCTGCGTCCCCACGCTCGAGGCTCTCGCTGCCCCCCCAGGAAACACTGGTTAGAGCGACCTGGGATATCTGCGTGCACTTGTGATCGGCGGTCAGAGATCTCCAGTTCCCAAGGATGACGCCCTCTGAACATCCTCCTCCTCTGGGGCACCGCTCACCTCTCGAGCCGTTTCTAGCAGAGGCTGCACTTGGGGCCCCCCCAGAGTGCTGGTGGAGGAGATGCTTCTGGTCCCAGCACACAGGCGGAGCTTAGGGTTTGTTTGTTTCTCTCTCTTCCTTAAAGGCCCACAGGCTGACATCAAACAGGAAGTTTAAAAAGAAACTAAGTAGAAGCAAGTATATCCAGGAGGAGGTGGAAGGTGCTCCTGCTGCTGCCTCTGGGATGGGCCCTGATGGTAAAACTTTCACAGCCGCCATCTCCCCAGCTTCCTGCAGGTCACCTCTCCCCCTTCCTGGGGTCAGCACCCTCCTCTGCTGGCTGCAGAGCAGGCAGCTCAAGGCACTGGACTTGGGAGCTTGGTCTCCCTGCTAAGTGGGGTCAGGCCCTCAGTCACAGCGGGGCCACCAGAGCGGAGGCCGCCTTGACTCAGAGGGTGTCTGGAGTCCTGGGGGGCTGAGGCTCCGGGGCCAGGTAGAAGTAGTAGGGCTGGAAGAGCCTCTCTTGGCTGCATAGCTCCATGGCCCGGTAGGTGTGGGAGAGAAGATGGGGGAAGCGCGACGTGAAGTAGCGCACGAAGTCTTCGGGGAGGGCGCCCAGGGTCTCCCGCACCTCCACAGGGAGCTCCCGGTAGTGGTGCTTCTGCAAACAGGGTGAGACACAGACACAGGTTGTCAGTTAGAGGGCCCACAAAACGCTGGTAAAAGATCCTTTTATTACTCAAGGAAGATAGAATGTTAGTTGGCTCTCTATAAAGGAAAGTGGAAAAGTAGAAGTGGTCCACAGTCCGTCCTGCCCACTCTGCCTGCTTCCGCTTATTTGGGAAGCCCTGGAGCTGAGCAAGGCCCAGTGTGAGGAGAGGCCGGTAAGGCCTCCCGCGACACTGGGACCTTGCGAGGCTCCTGGCAGCCTCCAGCACAATAAAGTCACCTGGGACTGAAATGTCTGTCCCAACGGGTTTGGGGCCCTCATCTGGGCCAAGGCCTTATCTGAAGGCTGCTTAATGACAGCTCAGGCCAAGAGCGGCCCGGATCCCTCCAGAGAACAAGCGGGGCCCCTGCCCTGAGCTCCTGGAGACCAGCCCCGTGTGAGAAGGTGCCTGAGGGGTCCTGTTAAAGGTGATTTAGATGGCAGCAGAGACACAAAGGACACCGGCATCAGAGAGCCTGCTTCCCAGGTAACTCCTCACCTCCTCTGCGCCCCTGAAGAGAAAACCTGAGTAGGGGAAGAAACAGTCTCTAGTTTGTGAAGTCTGGTTAAGGCCTCCCAGCCTCTGTGAGGTCAGAGGACCAGGACGGATGAAAGGACTCAGAGACAATAGCCAAGAGGAGGAGGGTGGCTGTGCTGCAGGTTCACAGCCCTCACCTTATTTCTCATGGCCCGGAGGAGATCTCTGACGGAGCCACCTTTATAGCTTCTGAATTTACGCAGGTCTAGTGAAAAACAAGAAATTCAATGCAACACATTTTGAAAGAAAACAATCCCTGGGGCTCCTGGGGATTAAGCGATCAGACAGAAACAACCTAACTCCACGCTCCTCGGTGACAGGAGCGCGCCCCGACCTCCTGAGCGCACCCGGGACCAGGAATAACCACTGTGAGCACCACATGGCCCCCGCCACTGGCCTTTCACTCCCAGAGACAGAAATGAAGCGCACACTGGTCTAATGCTCTGACTTGCATCCAAACCACAGACCACGCCCATTGAAAACCTCACTTGGAGCCCCAACAGCCCGCAGCCGCCATTTCCACAGGTGCTTCTTAGAAATGGGTGCAGCTTTTGAAACACTTGCGCCACTGTTTACCGCCCCGCCCCCCTCCAGGGGCTTCCAGCAGTCACCTGTCTGCAAGGGGACGGTGATGTTCTCCCGCCAGTCCAATTTCACCACCGCTCTCCCACCTCTCTCCAGCTGCTTCACGATTGGGCCATCCAGGGATTCCTTTTCTATTCGGTCACTCACGTCCTGTGAGGGAAACAAGGGCCACAGGTAACGGTTGTTGCAGAGAGAAGCTGAGCGCCGGAGGGTCAACACCAAGTAAGAGTGGTCACTGCTGCATGAGTCTTAAGCCGGGGCTGAGGCCTGCCTCAGAGCTGGGCCGCGAGATTTCTGCCTTTCCCCCGATTCTGTTCACTCTTCCCCTGGGAGCAGCCATGTCCGCGGCTCACTGGGGAGAGGCCTGCACAGGGAGAGGACACAGATGCACACCTGTCCACAGAGCAGGGGCGCCTCGCCTGCATTTCATACCAGGAAGACTCCGGGAAACACATCGCCTTTCCCCAAAGCCAGCTGGCATACCACAAGGCCTTAAAATTGCCAGACTACTAAAGGAGTTCATATACCCCCCGACCCTATTGTTTAACCTCTCAGAATCTATCTTAAGATCTGGGCAATGATTGAATACGAAAGGAGAGAGAAAACATCCAATTTAAGGAAACGTTTAAATTTATGAAACTTGAGTGAAATTATATGACACCTGAGATTTGCTTCAAAATAATCTGGGGTGGGGAGGGGTAGAAAGAGGGCAGAGGTAGAGTTGATCATCGAAGCTGGCTGGCGGCTGACTGGGAGTTCATTATCACATTCCCTCTACTTTTCTGTGCATTTGAAAGTTCCCATAATATAAAGTTTAAAAATTATGGCACATCCATATGATAGACTATAATAGGCATTAAAATTTTAGAACTTTAACATGGAAAGATACTTAAAATATATACAATAATAAAAAAAGCAAGATACAAAATTGTATCTATAGTTTGATCCTAATCACATTTTTATTTTATGAAGAAAATATATTAAAATGTCAGGCCTGGTTACTTCTCAGCTATGGGATCATGGATTGTTTGTTTTATTCTTTGTCCTTGCTATCTTTTCAAAATCTAGAAAACGTTAAATGGAGAGTTTGGACAAAGAAAACAAACAACTCTACCTGAAAGAATTGGAGCTGCTTCTCCAGGCTCCAGAAGAAGGGGTGTTTCAGCACATGCTTGGCTGATGGGCGCTTCTGAGGATCCATTGCGATCATCTTCTCTATTAACTCCCGGGCAATGACATCTTCTACAGAAGAGGACAATAAACAGGTAACGCGTTATCCCCAGCCTACAGTGAACTGCCCCACCTTAACTGTCTGCACGCCCTTTGAGTCAGGATTCTACCGACAGGAATCCATTCCAGTAACATAATTCGGAGCTCGCACAAAAACCTTCGGCTAAAAGGAGAGTCCTCACCACAGTGTGTGAAAAGCACTGGAAACACCCACTATCAGAGGCTTGGGCAACTGCCGTGCCTCCACATCCTGAACCGCGGGCCATTAGAATGACGCCCGGGCTGCGCACGGTCCAACACAGAGAGATATTCAAGGTGAAGTTAAAGAACGAGCATATTGAAAAATGGTATGTGCCATTTAACCCCATTTTAAATAAAAATATGCATACATGTCCAGAATAATATATACAAAGGTACCAATAGCAGTCATTCATCACTGTATAATGGAATTAAGTGCCTTATGCTAATCTTTTTTTTCTACAGGGAATAAGGAAAATTAATCCATAAACAAAACAGTAAGTTAGTTTTAATTATAAAAAGTTAAATAAAAAAAAAAAATTGGAGTGCCATAGGCCAATTATAACACAGAAAACCCCGAAGTCAGGAAGAAAGACTTGTTGCACCCCAGCCGGGACAGCAAGGACCGCGCTTGCCTGTCCCCAGCCCAGTCTGCACCTGTTGACCAGTGGTGTAGATGAGAGACGGCCCAGTCCGTGAAGCATAGATTATGTGCCTTCCCGAGTGTCCGCGCAGGAAGGACCTCGGATTATTCAACCCTCCCAGCTCTAAAGCTGGAAAACAGAGGTCCTCAAAGGGGGTCTTACCCGGTCACACAGGTAATTAATTGGGTGACCTGAAGGAAACTCAGAGCTTCTTTACTTTAGATGGAGGTGCTCTAAGAAGAGCCCCTCCCAGCCACAGGTGAGCAGCTGGAGAGAAGCGCCTCTGGGAATGCGGAGCTGGGACCGTCCCAGCCGCAGGGGCCACTGGGGCTGCTGAGTGGCTCCTGCCCCCTCCCGCCCTGCTGCCTGCTCACCGTGCTTCTCAGGGTGTAAGCAGTCGAGGCTGTAGGCGCCCAGGAGGATGTTGGCCTGCCGCTGCAGGGACTTGCCGAAAGGGTGGCTGCCCTCAGATATCACGTAGTAAAAGACGCAGCCCGCAGAGAAGATGTCCACTGTGTAGGTCTGAAAAAAAGGCAGGGTATGAGAGGGCTTCTGGGCAGCTTCCCTTCCCACTCAGCAGCAGAGAGCAGTGTGGCCGCTACTTCCTCTATGCTGAAGGCGTTGGGGAGAACTGGCTTGCGTCTGGGAGGTGCTCGGAGCAGTGCTGGGCACTCTGCAGGTGCCACAGGGGCATCAGTGTTCACCTTGGAGGACATGGGCTCTGGAGCCGATGGTTGGGGATGCTGGCTCTGCCACCTGCCAGCCAGGAGTCCCTCGGCTGCTCTGTGCCTCAGTGTCCTCCAAAGGACAGAAAGAACAATGTTATGCTCCTCATGGAGTGGTCGTGAAGATTAAGTGCATTATTAATATGTGAAGATTCACGTAAACCAGTGTGTGGCCCATAGGGAGCTCTCTCCTAGCCGCTCCTTATTCTTTACCCAGCCAGCAGGTAACTCCATGGAGGCAGAGATTTCGGTGCATTTGCTTCCCTGGTGCACACTCGGCGCCTAGGAGAGTTCCTGCTTACCATAGGCCTTAAAAACTTTGTTAATAAATGAGTAAAACAATTGCTGGGTCAAAAATAGCCCCAGAAAGAAATTATTTGACAAGTTTCCAGTGAGGATATTTTTGATGTTGACTTACAACTCTCACTTATCCCACAAAACCACTCTGTCTACGTAGGAACTTCTCTTTAGGGAAATGCGCATGTGTGACTTCTAGCTCACACTACTTGAGGGTAACACTGGGTGGCTCCCTAGACGCCTGGGTCCCTACTGCTCAGCCTCCACTGCTTAGATTCTCCAGCAGACTCATGAGGAACCAGTGGGAGAAAGCCAGGAGCTCGTCACCTTCCATCCTGGAAAAAATACGCCCGCAACAACACCATACTATTGCTCCCCCTCAAAACAGCCCCACGAGGCAAGCAGCAAACGTCACCATCCCCAGATAAAGACATGACAGAAAGGTTCAATGCCAGGCCCAGGATCACTGCTGGTCAGTGACAATCAGGAAAAGACTCAGGCCTCCTAATTCCCAAGCCCAGCCATCGTTATCGAATCTCATCAGAATTTTCCTCATGTGGGTGACAGATTCGGGACAGGAGGAACAAGTCCGCCACAGTTGAAGTTCTTATCTGTCATTTTACCTATACACGGTATCATTAAAGCTCCCCATTTTCCACAGCCCAGGCTGCCTGAGGTCCCCAGGCCACTCAGCACGGACACTGGGGGCTCTTGCCCTGCATGCCTATGTCCCTCTGCTCCTGCCAGCTCATCTCTACACTCAGTTATGTTCTTTGCCAAACTTATTATTGCCACTTGTTCTTACACTTTAAATATTCCATTATTATCACTACTGTTTGAAATACAACTGCCACCATGTTTGAAGTGAGTTGAATTTCTGCAAAGAATCAATAAAAGAGAGGCTTCAAAACTCCTCTGAATTAGTTGTGGGAGACTCAACTCTAAGGAACTTGGTCATTAATAGTTAAAAACTAGGATTCTGCTCCTCGGAAGTGTCTGAAGTGCCAGTTTCCACTTAGAAGCCACAGAAGTGGCACACGAGTGTGCTTTATTTATACAAGAGAAGAAATGAACAACTCCGTTCAGCTGGACCCAAATTTGAAGGAAAAAACCTTGACCTACATCAAAGATTTCTATTACTTAACAAATCATATTACTCGTTTTAAGTTCAAATGTTGAAAGTGTGATGTATCTTCTTATTACTCATCATTGTAATTGACTTTTTGTGAACTGACCAGCTGCTGCTCCCCAGTGAATGGATAAGGGGGCTCTACGGACTCTAATCTCTCTGAGGCTGGCTGGTCCCATCCAGGTCTGTAGCAGGGGCATGGGGGATAGGCCTCGGACGTCCTGTGCTGGAGAGCAAGGCGCTGAAACACCCGTGGGCTCTCAGCAAAAGGATGAAGATGTCGCCTTGAAGAGTGCCCATTGGCCCAATCTGGAGCAATTTGAGTATCAAAAGAAGAAACAAAAAGGATAAAGAAAAGTAAAAAAGGACTATGATGGATTACAACACTATTTTAAAAACTCATGAATCCACAGTGATTTAAAGAAAGAAGAAAATAGAGAGAAAGGGGATAAAAAACAAAGTTCTTTACACGAAAATGTCAGCTGATAAATGTAGAAGAATTTCCCGTGAGTTAAGCGACTGGGGGAGGCCTGCTCTGGAGGTGCGCCCGCGGGCGAATGGCTGCTGGTCAACAGGGAACCCACACTGCATCAAAACCCTCACCTAACACCGTGCTAACAGCAAAGAGGGAAATGTGGAGAGGAAAGCGGTCGTCGCCTGAGCCAGGTGAGCCAAGTTGGCATCGCTAGCAGGGGTGCAATGAGAGTGGTACAACCTGCCATCTCGTGCCTCCTAATGCTGGGTCCTGTGACTGTTGCTGCCAGAACATTCAAGTTTTATGTAATCTATCCGTTACTTACTTTTAGTTCACAGGAAATACAAGGAACTGACATTTCCTAAAACATGAGGAAATGAGCGAGCAAATCCCAAATGGGCCATTCTACAGACAAGTGCTTGCACTCTTCAGTCACCGTTAAGGAATAAAACAGGTCAGAGGGCAGAAGCAGATCAAAGGAGAGATGATCAAATGCAATTCAGGACACCTGATGGGACCCTGAATGACAAAAACCAGCTTTATAAGAGACATCTGGAGAAATCTGACTATGGATGGAATATTAGATGTTAAATATGAATTGTCTTGGAGCCATGTGCTGAGGTACTTAAGGGTGGAGGACCGGATGCCTTCCTCTTGTATTCAAATGGTTCAACAACAAAGAGTGAATGAAAAATATTAACAAACGGTGAATCTGGGCAGAGGTAGAGAGGCATTCACTGAAACAGTCTTACCATTTTCTGTATGTCTAAAAATTCTCCAAATAAAAAGTTGGGAAAACAAAAAGAGAAAAAGAAAAGGAATAAAAACTGGAAGTATAGTTCATCTTATGCAAATAGAGGGGGAAAGTGACTGGAAGAGGAGGGGAACAAAAAAAAACAGCCCCTTGCCCACATCGCCCCTCTCGTTCACCTGGTCATGAGACAGCATGGAAAGGGCCAGCAGCACATCCTCTGCTCAACAAATGGCCCTCCAGCTTCGCATGCTCCAGCCCCAAACCTTGAAGTTGGAGGCCCTTACTCCTGAAGATACAAGAGGCTGCAGTTTTCAGAGGACTGTGCTCTTTACTCACGGGGTTCTCCTTGCAGTCCTCACTCAGCATCTCCGGAGCGATCCAGCCTTCCGTGCCAGGCACCCCCGAACGGCGGCTGAAGCTGTGCCTGCCCACTGCCAGCTTCTTGCAGAGGCCAAAGTCGGAGATCATGGCCTTGATCTTGCCATGCGCATTGGGCATGGAGAGGAGGATGTTGTGGGGCTTCAGGTCTCTGTGGACTAACACAAAACTCCGGATTAGTCCAATGTTAACCATGAGCAGCATCGGGCCTCCTTCCACGGTGGGAGCGTGCCCTCCTCAGACTGCCAACAGACCTGCCGCCTCTAAAAATTGTGGGCGGTGTAGGAGTCCTCCCCAAATTCTGATCAAGTCGGCCACCCCACCCAGGCAGTTGTCTGGGAAGGGGAAGCCTCTCACCAATGTTGAGGGAGTGCAGGTGGGCCAGGCCCGAGGTGGTCTGCTGCAGCAAGGTGATGGGCTCCAGGCCAAGGTGGGCGAAGTCCTTCTGCTCCACGTACTGCAAGAGACATGGCGGCTCGGTCAAGGCTCACAGCCTCAGGACTCGACCCCTCAGTGCATTCTCTCTCTCTCTCCTCTTTTTTTAAGTGATTCAATTTTCCTTAGAAAAATCATGCCTCTAGCTTTTTGCTTGAGTTAGCTTATTTTCTTTGACCATATTTTAAGAAAGAAATGGGAAGTTTTACTGATGATATTTTCTGTCCAAATCCTTATTTTTCAGCAGACTCTCTCCTGAAGCCATAGGCTAATCGAGCTCCAGCTTACTAGTTTACAACGAGAAAGAGGAAGAGGGCAAAAAACCCAGGTTCATCGCCTCCTACTGGTAGGCCTATGAGTGAATGATACTGAAATTGTCTCATGATGAGTTGGAAACTGAGCAAGAGGAGTTCACTGAATGATCCCAATGACTCAAATCATCAAGAAGCATCCTCCAAGCCCACACCAACCCTAGGAAGAAAGACTGGCCAGGTATTCTGGAGGCCAAGAGGGAGACAGATGCTAACCACAACCAAAGACTGCCCCACGCAGGCTGAGAGGATGACTCAGTGAAAGCTGGGGTGATAAAAAATGCTCTACATTTTGACTGCGGTTAAGTGGGTATGCAACTTTGTCAAAATGCATCAAACTGTATGTTTTAAATGAGTATACTATATTATAACCTCAATAAAGTTAATCAAAAGAAATTTAAAAAATTGGTAGTCCCTGAAACCACGCCCCAGTTGCTGGGAGAAGGGAGGCTGCAGTGGCGACAGCAAAGCTGCTGGGGACCCTGGGGCACCCACCTCCTGCAGCGTGGCTGCGCATAGCTCAATGGCAATGTACTGGAACTGCCGGTCCCTCTCGGTGCAGAAGTAACGGATCACATTTGGGTGCTCGTCAGATTCCCGCAGCAGCTGGACCTCGCGGTCGGCGAAACTGAAGCACTCGGGGAGGATCCTCTTGACTGCCACGTCACGGTTGTCGAACATGCCCCTGCCGGACAAGGAGCCAGGTTGGGATGGGAGCCGTCAGTGGGGCTGTAGAAATGACAGGAGACCCGCGGACCCACAGTGCCCCTCTTCCTGTGACACAGTGGCCACTCATCAGCCTCAGAACCCAGGAGGAGACCCCAGCCAACCAGCTGGTAGCACCCAGAGGCGGAGTTTTTCTGTCTGAGTGGCAGCCATGACCCTGCTGTGCCCCGGGAGCCTGGCACGCCGCCTCAAGCCGACAGACACTCGCACCTGGCGTGGTGACGGTGCAGGGCTCTCCGATCCACTCACCGGTACACAATGGTGCCTTCGGCTCCGTGGCCTAGGACGTCCTTGGGACAGAATGAGATTTTCCCAACCATCACCATGCTGGTTTCCTCGTCTAGAACAAAACAGAAAAAAAAAAACAAAAAACGGGGGTTGTGTTACACAAACATAACCTAACAACCTTGAGGTTCAAATGGCTACAAGCTTCCTAAACTCAGATTAAGACACAGCATCTCAGAGGTTCTATGCCCCAATCCCCTGGGAGGCAAGGGTTGTTGGGTCCACTCCCAATTTGTGCCCAGGGCCACCTCCTCTCCCTGACCCTTGCTCCCACTCCTGCCTTCACATTGCTGTGAGAATGAATGTGTTACACCTTCCCAAAGACTGGGGTTCCCTATAGATCCGTCTCAGATTTGGACCTGAAACACTCAGATAGCAACGGTGGACGTGTGGAATGAAGAGACCAGCTACAGAGTCTCCAACTTGAGACTCAGGACTCTGAGGTCTCTTGTCCTGACAGCCAGCCTGAGCCAACCTCCCCGGGGAAAGAGAACCAACAGTAGCACTTTTTTCCTTGGCCCCTGACTGGCCTTGGGAATGCTCTCAAGCCAGGGGGCCAGTGCACCTCTGTCCAGCAGTGACTCCAGCCCCTTGTGGGGCAAGACGGAAGGAGGGCTCTCTGAGGGGAAGAGGCCATGGGATGGGACAGAACCCTGGTCAACAGACTGGGAGGGAGTAAGGTGGGAATATGTCAAACCCTTGGGAACAATGGCACTTCATTAACCCCATGGACACTCCCAGGAGGGTTAGGGTGCCATGTCCCTTGGGTGGTATTCAGAAGAAAGAGCAAAGAGCACCAAACAGCAACTCGCTTTACCCTCGTCATCCTGCTCTGGGGAGGGGCTGGCGCCAGTCCTGGAGGCAGAGCCGCTGGAGTAGAGCGAGTGGTTGGAGGCTCTGGGGGACGTGCTGGGGCTGCTGGCGCCCGAGCTCTCCGAGTACAGGCCAGACGAGTCCAGGAGCTCGGCGTCCTGAGCCACGTCCGCAGGTGTGTGGAAGGGCAGCTGCTGCTGCTGCAGGAGCTGGATTTTCTCCAGTTCCTTCTGGAACTGCCGGTGCTGGAGCTGCTGCTGCTGATGCATGCTCTGGGACAAGAAACATACACCGAGACAAGTCAGTGCAGCTTGTTCCGGGAACGCCAGAAGGGAGCAAGTGCACTTCATATGACCCCGCGGGGCAGGGGGAACAGCCATGGGAAGGCCCAGAAGGTCTTTCTGCCAGTTAGGCTTCCCAGGGCAGCCCATTCTCCCCACTGGAGGGGCCTGCCAGGGGCTGAATGGCCACCAGGCAGGAGCAGCAGAGGGGGCACTTTTATGAAAGTCTGGAAGTTTTTGCGAACGTGAAGCCAAACAGGGGCATTGGTTGAGAGCGCGGCGGATACGGGGAACACCAGCTCACTAACTATGGCCATGCACTTGACAAAGGGTAGTGCACAGACCATCAGCAGCCCAGAGGCAGAGAAAGCGGATGGGGCTCAGCATCTGGCAGCCATCAGCCAACAGCCACACAGCCAGGGTGTGGCAGAACGGGGCTGAGGCACAGGGGTCTGGCCGAGGTCCCGCTCCCCCCACTTCACCACAATGCCGTCCCACACTCCCACATACCTCTCCTTTATTCTGAAAGTTCAAGCAGACAACATCTGAGGCAGAGCAGTGTATGATAATCACTACCCAGGCTTGGGGAAGGTGACTGAAGAGACGGGCAGTGTGCAACGGCCCACTGGGATTTTCCCAGCGCCCTCTCCCTCTCTCTTAACCTTAGCCTAAAATCCTGGAAATGCCACCTATCAGCCGACTAACCTTGGGAAAGTTATTTAACTTCCCAGAGCCTAGTTTCTTCATTGTGGGTCGGGGATAAATAATAATGACCTCATACGACTGTATGAGATTAAAAAAAACAAACAAACAATGCAGGTGAACCCATCTAAACAAATGAAAAGTGCCCGCAGGGAGAAGGGTTTATAATGCACATTCCTATAAATGAGCTTCCTGAACAGTGTGATCTAAGTGGTAACCTTTCAGCGCTCTGAGCGACCCGCCGAAGAAATATTCCTCTAGTACATTTTATCCAAAGCATAACCGAAGCAACTACATGATTTTAACTCACTTATCTCCAACTAGAAAGTGGAAGGGATTACCAGGCCACCTTTTTCACTCTAGCTGATCCTCTGACAGTCAATTTTTAAGGGAAGAAAGCTAAACAGATTTTCAACTATTATGGTTATTCTTTAAAAAAAGAAAATATAAATAACTATTCAAAAGGAAGTGTAAAGCAAGGTTGACAAATCAGTTTGTACAGGCAAACTATACAATGTAGGTACAAAACTGTCCTTTTTTGAGGATTAGCAAGTATTAACTTTTAAATGTGAAAAGAAATGTAATTGCTTGCTTGCCATTTTGGTCCAGACCTCACTGAGGTCAGGTGCCGGGCACAGAAGTCTGGAAACCTGCGGGAGGGGAAAGGGCGGGGCCGAGCTTTACCAGGGGGTAGGTGATGATGAAGGCCACCCAGCCGATGAGCAGGAAGGTACTCAGGATGATGGTGGCTATGTCCTTGAGCATGGAGTCCACGGGGGCCTCGGGCTTGGCGGGGGCATGAGCAAACTTTTCTTCCACATCCTGAGAGATGGTGGTAGGCGCATTCCCTGAATTCTGATCAACCAGGTGGATAACCTTTTATAAGAGAGAGTGGTTACGTCACTGTGAAATTTCAAGCAAGATATAAATGAGCCAGTCAGTAGAAGCACTGACTATTCATAAGGAATGACTATACTGCAAAATGTGTCGGATGTTTTTTAAAGCCCACCCAAAGAGCACAGGGCCAGGTAATTGCTGCCTTTTTCTAAGCAATTGCCTTGAGGTGAATTATTGCTGTGACATCATCTTTACTCAAAAACAGTTTTTAGAGCAATACATTTGAAAGTGCCTTCAGATAGTATATTCTTTCAAAAATCCTCACTGAAGGCAAAAGCATCCTCCTTGGATGGTAGATCTAATAGTTGGGAAAACCCTGAAACTGTCTGTGACAAAGACGGGTGAAAAGACTGGCAGTCCATTTGGAAATGCCATTTCACATAAAAAAGGAAAACCCTGTGCACACACATGCACACTCACACACGTGTGGCTATAAAGTCAAAAAGCAGCTTTCTTATGTTGCTTGACACTTTGAGTCCAACTCCAAAACCAAAATCATTTATTCAAGTAGTCCACTATTTCTCAGTTTTTGAAAAGCTCCAGAACACTTTGTTAAAGAATATTTTTATTTAGAAGCCCCAAATTCAACAGGATAAAAGGAGGGCTTCTGTGCAAGCTCCGCAGAATCAAGACTTCAAGAACAGTTTAGGAAAATGTGCTGATTTGTTTACATACATTTCTTGTTCCGGGGGCACATGATTGTCGCCCGATGAAATGAACACACAGCCCCCTGGGGGGCGCAGGCCGGGCCGCCCGCACACGCTCACACCTCTCACCGCCCTGGTCTCCTGCCTCCAGGGTCCTTCTCTCCCCCTCCGGCTGTCCCCTCCCTCCGTTTACGGGGGCATGTGGCATGGCTGCTGTGTAGCAGGCAGCTGAGGAATGTTTGCCGAGCGTGTGATGGGGGACAACACTCATTGGGTTATATTTGCTCAAGGGTATATGTTAAAAACAGTTAAGTCTTGTTACCCCATAAATGCACCTCAGAATATGTGAACGGACTTCTAGGAGACTATCTTCATTCCAGCTTCAATGATTAAATATGAAAATCTCAACTACGGGTATCTCTGGGTGTCAGATTAAGGGTAATGTCTGATTTCCTTCTCTATACTTTTATTTTCTAAGTGTTTAGTCACGAATATGCTTGACTTTTAACAAAGTCAAAATCAGATCAAAACTTCACGGCATCAGCACTACTCAAGATCACTGTTTTTGGCCTCACTGTAACTTCCCAACCTGGCTACCTCCAGACATGAGGGACAATGCAGAATTTTGGCCCTGGAATCTTAAATGCAAATGTGATTTTCTTCTCCTTAAAATCTAAATCCCTAAAGTGCACCTTGTGATCGTGGTCCCCCATCAGCCAGCCACTGTCCTCATCCTCTGACCCTGCCCATAGCCCAGGCCCCCTCTCAGTCGCCGGGCCCCCATGACAGGGCTGCAGGAGCTGCCAGGCCCAAACGGCCCTGCACCCCCACCCCCTGACCTGCTCCGACCCCGCCCACAGCAGCGCTCTCTGGCCTTCTCCACCTCTCTGTGCCCCAGAAAGCTGCGCCATGTGGGCAGAGCAATGGTGTCCCCTGCCTTTGGTTTCTATCAAGACGCCACAGGGGAGACCGAGGGAGGAGAAGGAGGTCAAGTTCTGCAGAGCTGCTGACTACCTTCAGCTGAAGTTCTAGGCTCCTGGTGTGCGGACCCTTTCCCCGCCCTCCACTCCTGCTCCAGGCCAAACTAGTAAGAGAACCCCTGTGGGAGCAGCCCCTTATTAAACCTGCCTCAAATCACCCTAAAGTGGGTGGCAGAGGACCCTGACTAGCACACTCTATCTCGCAGGGTTGCAGGAGGGCAGCCCAGGTCACAGCCTCATGGCAGCTCCCACCTGAGTAGGCCTCGTGCGGCCCCACACTGCTTTCTGCACATGCCCTGGGGCCTGCCAGACCCCCCCTCCCCCAGACCAAGTGGCCACAGAACTTCAGGTCTCCCCACTTCTCTCTGTCTTCACTCTGCTGCCAGGGCTGGTAAGGTTTGGTAACAAGGTTCTTCTGGAGCCAAGTGATCCTGTTTCCCACTGGTGCCCACTCGGTAGCCTCAGATCCGGTCGGGCCTGTCTCCTCAGCCGCACACCTGGACACACCAAGGTGAGTCCTGCCCCCAGGCCTTTCCCTCTGCAGTTCTCCCCGCTCCAGTGCCCTCTGCCTCTCCCCCACCATTTGGTCTACTGCCTTCCCTCCCAGCTTTTGTTAATCGCCATCCCCTTCCTCCCCATCAGTCCTTAACAGTTTGTGATTTGCCGTGGACTCCCTTGCCTTCCTCTTCCCTCCTGAGTAGACTGCGAGCTCTAAGGCAAGGCCAAGGCCTTATCCCCCGACACCCAACACGATGAGCCAGCGACCGTTCTCTTCCCCACTCACTTCCTCAAAGCTCTTTTTCTCTGAGTCAGCAGGAATGACATTTTCCCTGTGTTTGGGCAGATTGTTGGGGAATCTCTCCAGCATCTTGGTCGACGCAGACAACGGGGTTTCATGGTGCCCTAGGAGAGGAAACAAAACCTTTCAGTGTCCAGTGGCCCAAGTGGCGGGAGCACTCAATGCTAAGCTCAGGCAGCAGTTGCTCTTCACTGAGGGGCCCACAATGCAAACACTCCCGTTTGTAGGGGGAGAACATGAGAGGCAGTGACCAGGAAATTCTCATCAAGAAGAGATTTTGTTACTTAATGGCATGCACACAGTATCCTGAATCTTGTATTGAGGAGGGAAAAGTCTTCTTGTCAGGAGAGGAATCAGATGTTGGGGACACATTCCAGAGCAAGACTTGCATGTGTAATTCCTAACCTGGGTTGTCCGCTGCTAACACATTACGAAGCTTTGTTAAAAGTTCAACGAGTTCTCCCTTCAACATTTACCCTTGTAACGTCACTGCACTATCGAGCATCTATTGTATAAAATGAATATCGAGCATCTATTGTATAAAAATGAGCAAAAGAGAGATAGGGTTGAATGAAGTAAGAAATCGGGATTTAATATGGCTTGATAATATGTTTAGCTCTAAAATTAAATGACTCCACAGACCACCCAAAAGGGCCAGCTCACCTCGTACTGGGCTGCCGGCACCGATGCATTCCTGTTTGTTCTGTCCCTGAGATCAGATCTCACTGTGGTCTTTCTGCTACTCTCCCAAACCTTTCAAAGGGTTATCATGTATTGCCAAGATACAAACAAACAAGAGCTAGTCCAACCTATGTACATTTCTTGATCTGGAAAAACCCCCTTTAAGTCCCTATCTTTAAGTCAGTTCTCTGTTGACAACATAACACTGTTCTTTAAGAGAAGCCTAATTCTGTTTTGAACCCCCACTAGTTGCTCCTGGTACCAAAGAACTCTGAGGCATGCTTAGCTGGGAAACTTCAGACCTCTGACTCAGACTTGCTGGTATGGCCCAGGGATCTGAATGCAAGTATCCCCGGGTGCCTCTGATGCTAAAAGAAGACCTTCGCTCTAAGAGAAATCAAGCTGTGCCTTCCACGTACCACCACCTTGGGCTGCAGTGTCCTGCCTGCCCCCGCCCCCAGCTCTTAGTGCTCCAAGTCCTGCCCCTCTGGTAGGGCACCCACCAACAGACTGCCATGGAGGTGATTAGCCTGAATTCCTCTTCCTCTTGTAGTTCTTCTTACAGACAGTTCTTCTTGTAAAGGCCCATAACTGGGCCTTTAGTAATATCATGCTTCACATTCTGAAGCAACTATGCTACAAATATAATCATAAGATCTGAAATATTTTTATGCAAATGGTACCTGGGTTTTAGTGATTTGTCTATCATGATCAATTATGTCTGGACTCCAGAGCAAGAGCATAGGCCCTGCCCTGGATCTGCTAAATCAGGATCTCCAGGGATCTCAGGTGCCTAACTGACAAAGTTCCCAGGTGAAACAGAGCACCCCAAGTTAGGACCGCTGCTCTGGGGCACACCACAGACCATGCCACTCAAGCTAAATGGACTCATTTTTATTTTCAAGATTAATGTGATGTGGGGACATCCTTAATTTCTTCTATAAAAAACACATCAAAGAACATACATAGTTCAACATGAAAGAGCATATCCTTGACCTGTGGCCCCAGTCCACATAAAGACTATCAAGTAGCTTCATGGCCTTATTTAAAAATGGCTAGGCTTTGGGGTTCCTCAAAAGGGCCTTCAGAACTGTGGGATGCTTCCCTAATTACTTCTTTATACTTTGTTAGGTTTTTCAGTTTTCTTAGTTGGGCAACTTTTCCATTTTAAAAGGATGTCATTTTGCAACTGAGCCATGAAGATTTTTTCCCCCACATTTTTTATAGTCTTGCACACATCTTTCCTGTTTCCAATAATTTTTTCACTTCTTAACCACTAGTGGGCAGTCTACGTCCCCTTTAACTGGTACAGAAAAATAAGTAGCCTTGTCATTTTTTTCCTTACTGTGGGCCCATTCACACATTTTCCAAACTATTTGTTTTATTAAAAAAAGGGTGGAATTATTTTGTCATCTCCTTTGCCCATTATTATATTAAAAAAATAATAACTAGATGAAAAATGGCTATAAGGAGTCAGGGTAAACACAGAAGAACAAGAACTGGACAGCTGCAGAGGGAAGGAGCAGGACTTGAGTGCAGCCAGTTTCCTCTCTGCCATATGTGGTCACAGCTCACGGCAGATCCGGCCCCCAAGGCCCCGCACTCCACCAAGCTGCTCCACCCCACTCTCCCAGCGCCCCCGGCTCTGCCCTCTCTCTGCCCAGGGACCAGTCAGCGGAGAGCAGCAAGAGGGAGAATGACGAGGAGAAACCTCACTAGCCCTGGTGCACTCTGGCACCCCGCTTCCCTCCTGCCCACACTACCCCCTCGGGCTGCATACCCACCTCTCACCGCCTCTGGGGCTGGGAGGCAGCAGATTTGGGGTGGGGGCCCAGGACGAGCAAAACAGATTCAAGAAAACTCTGTCCTGCTTTAAGTACTTGGGACACTTGCCAGAGACACAGTGCCTCTCACCTACGCCTTCATTGGTCACACTCACTGCCTTTGGGTGTCATCTTGATTTCTTATCTCGCTGGCTGACAGGGTTTCCAATCCAACCCCAGGGCCGTTAGTGATGGCAGCAACAGCAGAAGAGAAGGAAAAGGGCCCCCTCCTCAACACACACACGCAGGATGTCTGCTGTGGCTCCTTGACTCAGGTCCAGCCTCTGGCTCTTCACCACTCTCCGTCCCTACTGGCCTTCAGCCTCTCCTCCCCTCCCGCTCCCCCACACCGACACCAACTCCAAGTGAATTCTTCCATAGGAACTGTCCCAGTGTCCCTAACTATAAATGGAAGTAACAAGGGACGTTACAAAAGATAAGGAAATGTATTCTAAAGAGCTTAGCGCCAATGCCCAGCACACACCCTACGTTCAATGCATCAGATAATTGAACAAAGTTTGTTATAGTCATGTGCCACGTTATGACATTTTGGTTATCAATGGACTGCATATATGACGATGGTCCTATTAGAGTATAATAGAGCTGAAAAATTTCTGTCACCTAGTGACGTTGCCGTCAGGTTGCAGCACAACACATTACTCACGAGTTTGCGGTGATGCTGGGGTCAACAAACCTACTGCGCTGCCAGCCATATAAACGTATGGTGCACAGTTATGCACAATGCAAAATACTTGACAATAAACGGCTCTGTTACTGGTTTATGCATTTACCATACTATGCTTTTTATTGTTATTTTAGAGTGTCCTCTTTCTATTCATAACAAAACAGTTTGCTGTAAAACAGTGCACCCTGTTATGCTGGTAGGACCTCATGTTCACTGTGCCTCTTGTTGCAGCATTTTCTCTTGTGCTTGGTTTAATCTCGTGTTGTCTTGTGCAGTAACAGGCCTGGGCCCAGGAGCAACAGGCTGGACCACAGGGCCCGGGTGTGTACTAGGCCGCGCCACCCAGGTTTGTGTAAGTACACTCTGGGATGTTTGCAAAATGACAAAACCCCCAATGATGCATTTCTCAGACTGTACCCCCATCGTTAAGCAACATATGACTGTACTCAGTACTTGAGTTTCGGAACATTAAACGATTTTTAAGAACTGATTTGTCAACACAGCTACCCTGTGTATTTCCCCTGAGGGTAAAAATGTTCAAGGTCTGAAAGACCAACTAGGATGGGAACTGAGCACAATGCAGTTAACTGGACCTGGCAAGGTCAGCTTTGTCCACCAGGAGGCAGCAGGAGACCTGAAACAATGGGGAAACCAACTCACCAATCAGAAGCCAGTAGTTCCTCAAGTAGTTGAGCTTGTTCTTTCCTTTGAGCCCAGGGTTAAACTTTAGGTCTGTGCTGGGTGTGATCACACACTCCCCTTTGTCCCCAATGGTGACACCGTCTGTCTGGGGACCCTCCAGTAAAGGAAGAGTGCTCCCTCGGGGCTGTGGAGACAGAACTGAAGTGAGGCCTTGGGGGCAGCCCTTGCAGATGAGCAGAAGAATTTCCCTGTGACTGTCCTAAGCAAGTAAGGGACTGTCATACATCCAGGTGGGGCTGGCCCAGGACAGAGCAAGACACAAAGGCTGCAAGACTGGGCAGGAGAGAGGCTCCTCCCTCAAGAGGTGACAATGCTGAGCTGAGGACTTCAACATGGACTGCTTTTTAAATTCTTTTGTCCAGGAACTGGGACCAGGAAGTGTGTGTGTGGAATTCCAAGTGGCTACTGTGAGAAGCAGGGTAAGGGAGGGAGAATGCCAGGGCATCTACCAGTCCACAGTCGATGCACTTGCCCAGGGTGCAGTAAGCTCCGGCCACGAGCCCGCTGTTGGCTCGGGCACTGCTGGAGCTCAACTGATGCAAGTGCTGCCCTAATCACAGAAGCAGATGACCAACGCGACTCACTGGAAAGACAAGAGATGCCAACCAAACAGCTCAAACACTGTAAGGACCAAATGAGTAGCCAGGGTCATAAGGCTTCAGATGCCTGGAGACGGTGTATTAGAGGCATGGTGGCAGGAGCCAAGGAGGCTTGGATAGGTCACAAAAGGATGAAAAGGATCTGAGTAGGGAAAAGAAAGAAGGGAGAGGGCTGGAAGCGTGAGGCACAGCCTAAACAAAGGCTAAGAGAGAAGAACACGGAACTTCTGAAATCTGTGAGAAGAGGTACCTGGTTGGACACTAGCAGTGCAGTGGAAGGGCACCACGGGACTGGAACGAGGGCTGGGAACACCAGCCTGGGCAGTTTGAACTTGAACACAAAAGCAAAGGGGCGTGGCTAGGGCTGATTTTTTTCATGCAGCATTCCACGAAAGGAGAAGGTGGTATGTGTAGGAATTGTTTTTGAGGATCTAAGATCTATGTTTTGCATTCTTAACCAACAAGATGTTTATCTATGATACAAAGTCATTCTGTCGGAAAACGCAACAGGAGCAGTTAAGAGGCTGCACCGGTGAGACTCCCCACTCCCGGCAGAGGACTTACCACAACGGCAACACCCTCATGCACCATTGAGGGGGAGGCATAGAGGCTAGTAGAGTATTTCCCAACATACAGGGTGGGCCTAGGAAAAAAACAGAGGCATGCATCCCACAGTCTTTTAAATTCTGGGCTTCTGGGAGAGAAGAATTACAGCCCCACATACCACCCAGAAGAATATCCAGAGTAGCTCCTAAGCACTCTCTGGGGGTGTGAAGGCAAGAGTCCTACCCTGACAACTAGGAGAACTGGGCGGCAGGTCCCAGCTGTCACGCACAGTCTCAGTTTCCTCATTTGCAAATGGCAGGGCTGTACTTGACCATCCCCATGGTGGCCTGCAGAAAGGACTATATGCAATGATCACATGCGAGAGACCGAATGCTTGCAATCACTGCAAAGCCTCTTAGGTGGCCCAGGCCAGCACACATTGACAACTGAGTTGACACCTAAATCACCAGCATCCTGTTCTGTGATTCTTAAGAAGTCTAGAGAGTCTACAGAACCCCTGAGAAGCAGCCAAGTGCTCTAATCTGAATGCCTAAAGCCAAGGCTTGTACAAAAAATTTCAAGACTTCCAGTCCCCTGCAGCATGGTCTGGTCCTGTCTGGGCCATCAAGGAGGGGGTGTGGTTTGGCTTTGTCTGTGGTGGCAGACCCTCTGGTTATTACTGTCAATAGCCAGTTTCAGGCTGGTCGTCTACTCAATTCTGGAAACTTCTCTCAACACAAACCATATCTGAATGGTGGGGGATCATTTAGAGAGCACATTCATGCATATTATCTTATTTGATCTTCTCCAACAGCTCTCTAAAGTGGGAAACTGAGGCCCAGCAAGACCGAGTGACCTATTAACAGGAGGGAATGGAGAGAGCACAAGCCTGCTGAATCTTAGACACACACATCGTAACCCTATTCTCCTGATTTTTAAAATGAATATAACTTACAGTAAAAATTTAGAAAACACAGAAAGTTGAAAAATAAATGCATGTCTTATAGTCCTATCACCTGAGATCTATCCAAATTGTACCGTGAATACTGGCTGTCTCTTTCCTGTCCCCACCCATCATTTTAATTTATTTACTATTCAAGAATTCTGAAGCAGCTAGGGGATCCCCCGTTCTTATATTCGTGGGCTTCTGAATGAGCCAGTTTTGGTTCCCCATGCTCCTCCTGACTTCAGGGACAGCCGCTGAGCCCTGGCCCCTAGTGTGCGGCGCGGCGCACTGCAGCAGGACCAGAAGGTCACGGTCACAGCAGCCCTCTCCTGCCCCGAGGACCCTGACTCACGTCAGCTTGCTCTTGGCCTCCGTCTCCTTGGGGAAGGGGTACTTCCACTTGGTGATGCGGCCCACCTCCCCGGACATGAAGGTCAGATAGCGCAGGGTCTCCACCGCGACGTTGATGTGCATCACCTTCCTCAGACCCTCCCGCTGCCAGACATAGAAGGCCACCACAGGGGAAGCATAGTTCTGGATCCACAGGACGTCACCAGATTCACTGTCCACAGTCACCACCAGCCCGTCGCCATTGGATACAAAGTGGGACATCTCTGCACAGATCAGATAAACAAAGCCATGTCGTATCTCGCCCCATCTTGCAACCACATCCTCTAGTTTCCCGGCAAGTTGCAGCCATCCAGTTAGAGGAGACAAGACTTGTGGGGCATTCTCAGACCTCCCCCGTTTTCAGTGAGCTTGCTCAGGCTCTACAACATCAACACACCGACAGCTGCCTGGTTTACAAACGTAAGACAGATCACTCTCTGGAAGGCGATTTACTTGGTGATGTTCTTTAGCATTCCATTCGATGAATGAGAGAAGTTACTGAGGAGAAGGAAGCCTACGGAGATGCATTTATAGGAATGACGTCAAACCTATTGATCAAGCTCAAAGTCAGAGTTGATCACATCTGACCACGGAGGGGATTCCTGTCAGACTTCCAGATACCAGTGTTAAGTCGGCAAAATTGGTTTTTAGTTTTCATTTGAGTCAGAGGAATGTTTACTAGAGAAATAACTACAGGATGAGCCACGTTTAGGCAGTGAGTTGCTAGTGTCATGAGTGGATATGTAATTCTGCTTCCCACGGGCTTCTAGCAAATTCCTTCTATGACACAGAGGGACTCAGCAGAGTGTGTGCTCCCTCCTCTCAGGTTAGACTTGCTGCCATGTGACTTGAGTTTCCCTCCACACTTCTCACCAGGACCCCGCCTTCAGCACTGACTGTTTAAGTGTTTATTCTAAGTCCATGGAAAGTCCAGAACCTGGGGACCAAAAGTATCTTAAAAGAAAATCCAGCCTTTCTTCTGGAGCGACCTTCTCCTCACAGATTGCAAGTGCCACCCAGGCTCATGGAGGCTCCCAGGAGCACTTACTGTAGTCCACGTCGTCCTCGGGCAGCGAGGCTGCGTAGTCGAAGTAAGTGGCATTCCACCGGAGCTCTCGGGTCTTGGTGTCATACATGGTGATGGTGTATTCTGGGGAACACACACAGCCTATTACCCAGGGGGAGGGAGCAGGAGATGGAGAGGCAGGGGGACACAGCACCTACTGGGGTTCTGACCTTATCTAAATTACAACAGACAACTCCCCACTAAACTGCCTGTAAAAAAGGTCCAGACCATCCATGCGGAAAAGAGAAAAGGCCACGTGGAAAACTGAAGTCCCAGACACACACGTGAACCCAGCTGACAGCATGTGGAGCAGTCACGAGCCGCCTTGGTTGTGCCCTTGAACTCATGACTCACAGAATTATGAGCGATATCATGGTGTTGTTTTATGCCACTTAAGTCTTGGGATAGTTTATTACATAGCAAGAGATAGATGATATTAGAAATTGGTGCCCAAAAGTGGGAAGGTGCCACAACAAAAACCTAAAGTGTGTGGTATCGACTGGGACCAGGTAGCAAATGGAGGCTGAAAGGTCAACGTGGAGACTGAAAGAGCAATAAGAAAACTGTTGCTGGGAGCTGAAAAGGGGTGACCCAGGTTATGTAGTGGTGACACAGCTGGAAGACTCCTGCTTGCAGACACTTAGAAAATAAAAAGAAAGTACCTAACAAACTAGTGGATCTGGCTAAAGGGATTTCCAGGCAGAAAGCAGGAAGTGCTGAATGGTTTCTCTTAACTGCATATGATAAAATGCAAGACAGATAAGCTAAAGAAGGGATAACTCAGTTTTCAATCTAAATAGAGAGAGGAAATATAGAGGGTTCAGGACTGACATTCCAGCTGAAAAAGATCCTCAATGTAAAACATGGCTTTAGGGTCAAGATCAAGTCAAGGGTGAAGCAGTGGCCCTTCTTGGAGACTTTGGAAAGATTTAAGTGGTATTTCATAGCCCTCTGGTATGTAAGAGGGCTCTATGAACTCTTAAGAGTGGTGTCCATAGCACAAAGTAGAAAGATGTGTGGGTATGGCTTTGTCTAATAGAATAGACTATAGTTTGACACATGCAAAGTTCACAAAGTTTTAAAAGGAGTAATATCAGCCTGGACTAAAAGAACCAGAGACAGTCAAAATGAAACAAACAACAAAAACCCCCAACTTTCAATGGACAAGAAACAGATTAAGAAAGCTGTAAAACACTAACCATTTCTTATGGAAAAGAAAGGTCTTCTCAGAGGGCAGGACCAAGAGCTGCTGAAAACCATGTACCAGGGAACCATCCCCAGAAGGCAAGACTAGGCCCTAATCAGGGAACCTTCCTGCCTTCAGAGCAGGGGGACCTGGAAACATTCGGGCTGGGTCCCAGAATCGCGAAGCACCAGCGCCTGCATGAGCCTCCCACCGCTTCCCTGGCTGTGGGGAGATCTGTGTCACCACGACGCCGGCCTTGCCCGCCTCCCAACCTGATGGAGATCACGAGGGGCTGCATTTTGAGACTGATGCTGCGACTGGACTCGGGGGTACATTTGAGTATATTTTGCATGTGGGAGGGCCGTAAACTATTGTAGCTGGAGGGAGGCGTAAAAAGATCATCACCACCATCCCCATCCCTGCCATGTGCGTGCCAGTCTCCCCATCAGAGGCTGAGTCTATTTCCCCAGCCCTTGATTCTGGCCTGGCCTCATGACTGGCTTTGACCCACAGACTGCAGTAGTCAGGAGGCTCCGGAACTTCTGAGCCCAGGCCTCAGAGGCATGGTAACTAACATCCACGCTTACTTAACGGGTTGGTGGCGGTGGGGGAGGGGGCGGGGGGGACCCAGCTGTCATGGAAAGAAGTCCAAGCTCTTGTGTGGACCTGAACCAAGGGTCGACATCTGAGTGAGCCCAGCCAACAGCATGTGGAGTACAGACCATCCGTTGTCTGTTGAGCGGTCCCTGAATTTCTGACCCACAGAATCCTGAGCAGTGAAGTGTTAGTGTTTGAAGCCATTCAGTTAGGGTGATTTGTTACGCAGCAACAGGTAATGAAACATAGAGACCTCCCCCATCATAACAGGAGAGCCCAGCCAGCTCCTACAGGGCCCCAGGTTAGTCTCCTCATCCTTAGAAAATGCACTGTTTTCCAGAGCACCTGAAGGAAGCTTCCGTCTTTTTAAAGTCTTACCTACCTGAATGTTTAGGCTTAAATTGAGTACTCAACTGTAATGATTTCTTTCCAGGTGTAGGGTATAATTTTCTCCTTCTAAATGTTTTCTTGCTCCCCCTTTGAGCCCTGTGTTAACTGTCTGCTCTGCAGTTTGTGTGGAGCACCGGTAGCTGCCGGGGGCTGCACACGTGCGATGAAAAAGGCAGATCCCCGCAGTGAAGGGGCTCGGCATCCACCGGCTCACCCGCTCGCTCGCTCGCTCGCGCCAACGTCTGAGCACCTGCTACATGTCGGACAGGGGCCCGCCGTGGAGACACGGCAGGTGAGCAAAACCAAGCCCTGCCCTCGGGAAGCTGATGGTGCAGCAGGGGAGGCGGGAAGTAGGCACATCAGACTCCGAAGCATGCGGTGACAAGTATTAAGAATACAAGAGGGTGGGTGAGCAGGGCAGGGAGAGTAATGGGGGGAAAAGAGGGGACAACTGTAATTGAACAACAATAAAAAATTTTAAAAATATAAAATAAAATAAAAAAAAAAGATGAGGCTGAAAAGAAAGGTGATAGACTATAGTGTGCTGAGGAGGGTGCTGCTGATGCCTTAAAGGGCCGGTGACAGGAGGTGAGATGGCCACTGTCACGGGCCCATGTGGCATGTGTCCCAAGGATGGAACAGCCGCTGTCCTGGGCAGGGACAGGGAGCTGAAGTAAGGAACAGGATTCATAGAGAAGGTGGCTTTTGAGCAATGATATGAAGAAAGAGAGGACACTGGCCAGACAGGCAGAAACCTGCACACCTGAGAGAGAGGGACCTCTAGTCCAAGTTTTTAAAAATAGCACTGCTTGTTCTGGGAGCTGCAGCTAGTTCATCTTGGTTGGAAAATGTTGAAATGAGGGAGGGGGAGGTGAAAGAGGTAGCAGCTGCATTCCTGGGGCTTTGTGGGCCATGTACAGTTAGGCCTATAATCCCAGGCATGGGGAATCACAGCGGGTCTGAGAAAGGGGAACCATGTGGTAAAATCTGTGTTGGAGAAATCAGCTCTGGCCACCTTCTCAAGAACAAAGTCCAGAGGCAGAGACCTGAGGGGAAGCTACTTCATGTCCTTTCTGGAAACAGGCAGGTTTGTACATGACAAAAGGTCCCTTCCTACCTGTTCGCCCAAGGTACAGAAGAGAGGTCGACGGGCAGAGGCTATCAGCAAAGGCCGAGGACAAGGTCTGTTGCTTCTCTCCGGTCAGAAGGTCAATGACATACCAAATGTCCTGCTTTTTACCTGAAACGTCACCAGGACACACTGTGGTTACATTTGTCCTATACAGAAAAAATATTGCTGCCAAACCAGCAGCCCAAGACGTCCTCTGTGCCGAGGGACAGGCCTGAAATTTTCACGATGTCAAAGGATCGCCCTGCTCCAAGGGTGACAAGGTAAATGGTAACGTGAACATAGTAAGATTTCTTGGGCCACCGGGTCTAATAATAGTATAATAACCTAATCGTGTATAAAAATTCCTCCAAACCTAATAACTCCTAGATTGTATTGCTTTGATTAGTGGCCTTAAATATTACAAGTCTGGGCTGTGAAGGGAAGTTCTTGTCCCATAGACTAAGATCTATATAAATATAGAAATGTGCCCAGCGGGTCATCTCTCTGGTAACCATCATTCGTACACCTCAACATCCCTACTAATGAGCTCACTTGTAAAGAGGATCCACAGTTTTTGTTTATATCTTTAATTAGCTGGTACCTGGGACTGGGCAGTAGAGTTGGTTGCAACCTGGTGCAAACCCCATCCCAGCCAGTAAGCCATTCCCCAGCCACAGGCTCTACCTCTCACCTTGGTCAGCTGATTAAAAGGAATGAACAGGCAGGCGGCACAACCAGACAACACTTAGGAAACTCAGAGCTGTGTGTCTACAGTATATACCCCAGAGCATCAGGGTAGCGGTGAGTTAGCAGCATGGGCCTCCCATCTGAAGGCCAACACGTTCACCGTGATGTGTGTGTGCCATTTCTGTTTCATAAGGCCTGGCCTCTGGTCACTTGTATCTTCCTAACTTATGGGCCAAGTTGCCAATTTCAATGGATTCTTGGAAGCAGAGTGCCAGGAAGGGCACAGGCATCTGAATTTGCTGAAACTACGCTTAGCTCTAACAGATGTAGAACACATGCCAAGTCCACATGTTTGATACCTGTCCATGGATTGTAACTTTCTAGTCTCAGCAACAAATCTTAATATGAAAAAAATCTGAACATAAGTGAAAACATCGCCAGACAGCTGTGACCATGATCCCTTTCCGTTTGGCATGGCACCACTCTGGTTACTTTGAGGACCATTACAGTCTCCATAACCCACCTACCACTTTAATGGATGGATTGAGTGACAGCCACACTAAAACATGTAATGGACTCACTCAAGAGGGCACCACACAAAGATGATGGAACCACAATATCCTAAATGCAGCATAAGTGATGAATTACTGGCAAAAGCTGGAAGGCCGTATTGAAAACAGTGACACAGATGGTCAGAAGGTGCTCAGAGGGGCCTGGGGCCGAGGGCCTGGCACAGAGGAGAGAATGCCTGGCTGAGCACTTCCTCCAACTCCCTAGGCTGCAGGGGCGGGAAGGTGGGGGCAGTCTTCACTCTGATGGTGTGAAAGGAAGCCAGAGCCTAGGGTCCCTACCAAAAAGTAAGGTTCGGCCTGCACTTGAGGCCCAGAAATACACACAGCGCTCCTGCAGCAGGAACAGGCAGTAAGCACTTTCAGTTCCTCCAGAAACTGGTGTATAAACACAGGATATTATTACTACTATGATTTCAAGATAAATACAGCTCTCCTTTGTGTTACAAATGCATTTTTATTGACATTTTGGCAGCAACAGGGTAAAAGGAAAGCAGGTGATCCGATGCTTTGAAAGATGTGACCCCTGCAGGTATGAAGGCAGCTTATCTAGGCAAGGTGTTAAGTGTAGTTTTTATCCAATATTCTGATAGCAGGAAATACTAAGAAAGCCCGATAATTAATAGGCAAGAGCCTGGCTTCCCTTTCTTGGCCCAGACTATTGTATTCACTTAAAATTTCGTCCAATTACTTCTGGGTATGTTGCAATCTTTAAATCACAGGGGTAGGTCAACACAGCAGCTAAAAGCTTGTTAAATGAGTAACCATATTAATGGTGTCAAGTCTGTTCCCAAGTGGGGGGAACCCTTTCTTAATTGTTCAGTTGATCCTGGCATTGAAAAAGCCCAACCGAGGCAAGAAAGACCTTTCCCAGAAGGGCCAGTCGGGAGGGACTGCACACCTCTGTCTCAGAGACGCCACTTCCCCAGGTTCTGGGGCTCATTTCCAAAGAACTCCAAGTTTCAGTGAGGAAAACAGGAACCCTTACCCATGTAGAGAATTCCATCTGAACTTCGGCACGGGGATGCCTGTACCAACTCCGGGATGGTAAAGGGAAGTTTCTTTAAAAAAAAAAAAAGAAAAGGAAAAAAGTTAACCAAGTCTTATGCAATTATTACAATTTTACGGCACAATCTGTTTGTTACCCAATTCTGCTAAAAAGAGGGAAGCGCTGGTGATGGGAGGCGGGAGTTTCTCTAACTGGAAACCAAGGAGAAGGGGAGCCCCGGGCCTCCAGATCTATTTTGGACAGGCTCTCGGCCCCCAGGTCCCTGGCACAGCAAACTCTAGCTCCTTTACTCCATGGGCCCGTCCAAGTCTCTTTTCCAGAGCACTTCTGGGGACGACGCAAACCTTTTCTGAAAAGACTTACACAAATATGGAGAGTTACACAATCTTTGAAATTCTAAGGGGAGGGAGGGAAGAAGTCTCCAGTCTTGGAAAATTGACCCAGGGCCAGCTAAACTGAGTAGAATATCAATGCTTTTCAGAGGGAGAGTGAGCCACAACATTAATTCTGAGAGAAGCAATTGCGGTGCCCAGCTGATGCTTCGAGAAAAAGGAGAAGTCATCATTATGTGGGCAACATAAGAGTCTGAAGTGGAAAAGAAGTTTTAATGTTTTCTTCAGCAAAAAATTCTCTACTGAAAAACAAAAGAAAACTGAACCTTTTGGTATTAAAAGGAAGTTATGATAGGTGCCAGGAAAAGAAACTCAAAGAAATCCACAGGTTTCAACTGCATTTCATCATAAAACCGATTCTTCTGAGCCTACAGCTGACATCTGACGAGTCCTTTTGGTGAATGTTTCGGTAGACTTTATTTTTGGAACATTCTGTGTTCTTGAAACTCTTCTACAGATACCTGCTTCTACTACACTGCCTTTTTCTCCACAAAAGAAAAGACTTCTCTCTTGCTTCAATAAACAGAACTTGAAATCATTATTCATTTGGATTTTCCCATCACCCCAACATTTAAGCTGAGTCTTAGAAAAGGAAAAAAAATGCCCCAGAGAGGCTGTAATGACTGGGCTTCTGCCAGATGTTTCTGAGAATCAGAAAGTTACTGCTAGGCTTCCAGCCTGGGGTTCTGTGGTATCTGCGGAGCCTCCCGATTCAGGGCTCGGGCTGGAAACATGTTGTTCCTAGAGCTGCTAAACCGCAGTGCTGGAAGGCACGGGGAGTGGTAGTCAGAGCATCCTTTGGAAGTTATATTGGTTTTCAATAAGTCCAATGCTTGAAGCTTTGGCCATGTGCACGTTCCTTCACCTCCCCAGGCACAGTGTCTGCTCCTCTAATCCGGGGCAATAGTGACAGCCCAGTTTCTGGCTAACAAAGGGCTTCGGAAATGGAAGTTCTAGTGATGTGGGGAGAAATGCTGAAGGTGAAACACACACACCTCCACACAGGGCTTGCCCTTCTCCCACCTGTTTCAGCCACAGGCAGTCATCAAATAATTTTAAAATACCCAAATTAGAGCTCCCAAGCCAACAGCAGTCTAGACCAGTGGTTCTCAACCTTGGCTGTACATCAGAGGCTTTTAAATTTTCTATTGAAGCAGAACTTATACACAGAAAGCTCATGAAGTGTACAGCTTGGTTACATTTTGCAACGTGAGCATGCCCATGTAACCAGCACCCAGATGAAGAAATGGGACCTTGCGAGCACTGAGAGCCCCTTCTTGCCCCCTCTTCAGTCGAGACGTCCCAGGGTAACCATTATCCCGACTTCGAAACATCATAGACCAGTTCTTCCTGTCTCTGAGCTTTACACTGTAGTAATGAATCATTCATTGTGTAGATGTGCTTGTTTGTCATCTTTTGTCCAACTTATTTTGCCATCTTATTTTGGCAAGACTCATCCATGTTGCAGACTATACTTATTGGTGTAGACTATTAAATTGTAAACAATTCTATAATTTTTTTATACTGTCAACTATTGATGCTATTTGGATAGTTTTCACTTCTTGGTTATTATAAATAGTGCCACAGAACATACGGGCACCTTTCTTTTGATGAACACATATATGCATCTCAGTTGGGTATATAACCCAGGAGGAGATCACGGCCACAAGGCTGTAACAGATACTGCCAAACAGTTTGCCAAACTGGTTATACCCATCTGCACTTCCACCGGCAGCATACGTGGGTTTTGGCTGCTTCAACTCTCCTCCTCCTACCTCTTTTCTTTCTCCATTTTTCTCATTAGCCATTCTAATGAGTGGGCAGTAGTACAATACTGTGGTTTTTATTTACATTTCCTTAATGACTAATGAAGCCGAGTACCTTTTCCTACGTTTATTGACCATTTGGAATCCACTTTTGCCATTTTTCTACTGGGTTTTCTGTCTTTTAAAAATAATCCATAAGAGTTGTTTATATAGGGTGGGGCAAAAGTAGCTTTATAGTTGCGAATACGCAAAACACAGTTTATTCTTATTTATTATTATTTATTGATTATTGTATTGTTTTCCACAAAAACAACTATAAACCTGCTTTTGCCCACCCTGTAGATTCTGAATATGCGGACTTTGTTGGATATGGGTATTGTGAATACATGTGGCCTGCCTCTCTTAATTGTGTCTCTTAAAGACAAAAAATTCCTAATTTGAATATAATTAAATATATTGATTTTTTTCCTTTATGGCTAGTGTGGGGCATTTTTGTTTTGTTTTGTTTTGTTTTGTATTCTATTTATGAAATCTTAACCTACTCTAAGGTCACGAAGACGTTCTGCTACTTTTTGTCTTAAAGCTTTGTTTCGCATGTCGCGCTGAGCTAAGCAATCTGTCTGGAACAGAGTTCTGTGTGCCTGGTGTGAGGTAAGAGCCAAGATTTTTTTCCTTATGGATATCCCAGCTGACGCAAAGCATTTTTTGAAAAGACCAACCTTCCCCACTGCACTGTAGTGTTGCCTTTGTCGCAAATCAGGTAGGTGCTCGTCTGTGGAGGCCTGTTTCTAAATTCTCTTATCTGGGTTGTTTTTAAAAATCCTGATGCCTACATTGATTAAATGGAAACTTTGGAAACTGGTACCTAGACTCAGTATTTCTTTAGATCTCTCCAGGTTATTACAATGTGTAGCTAAGGTGGAGAACCTCTGTCTAGATTCTCAAAAGGAGATGAGCGTATCACGTACTCCCTATGTGGGGATGTCTGCAGGGGGACGGGCAGTGTTTCAAACTACACACCCCTCCCCCAATTTGAGAATCACTAGTGTGAGTGAACCCTGTTACTGAAGGGAGTACTATACCTGTCCAGTGTGTTGGCTGGGCCATCAGAACCTGCTGGTCTAGGTCAATGTTTCTGAACTCTGGCTGCCATTTAAAAGCTCAGCTTGGAAGCCATGCAAAGACACCGATGCTCAGGCCCCACTCCAGACCACCTGAATCAGAATCCCCCCAGTGTGTCTTTTAAGTTCTCAGGTGACCTCAATGTGCAAAAGTGGAGGATCACTGGTCTAGAACCTCTGGAGAACACTCACCGTCAGGCCTTCATTATTCTTGCCCCCAAGTGTGTACAGGCTGCCGTCATTGGGGTCTGGGAGGAAGGCAGGCCTGGAAGTTAAGCAGTAAGTATCAATGATAAATGATGGCCCAGGGCACAGAACAAACCACCACAGCCAGGACTGGGGGAGGGAGACAGAGAAGGTGGATACAAGCTGAGTCCATCCACTATTTTTTCACTTTAGCACAAACAAAATATCCCTAGTGGGGTATATACTGTACTTGAGGAGAAAAAAACAATCCGCAAAAGAAAAATTGCGAAACATCAAAGAAGAGTAAATCATTGGGTCAAAGCAGTCTGGATGAGGATAAAATAAGTGAAAAGGACCCAACGAGTCTGCTTTTCAGTTTCCAAGTCAATTGTATATAGAACTTCAACGATTAATACTTAATAGCATGGCACAGCACGTAAACAGGTAGAACAAATCTACCTTTAGGGTTCAACAAACATTTATTTTTAAACTGGAGGCAATAAAAGCAGACTTTTCGAAGGCTTGATACCAGAAAGAACCTGCCATGGCCATGGATAAAAGTCTCTCAGCAGGTAGCTTCCCCTGCAGCAGGTGTGAGGTGGTCTTTGGTCAAGTTAACCTGCTAAAGCCTACACCTGGTCACTCAGAACCCTCGGATGAATCTCTTCTCTACTTAGGAAGGACTGTCACCGGAGGCTGTTACAGGTGCCATGCAACTTTTATTCTCACACACACACTATAGTAGCAGGTCACGTTCGTGTTTGTTCTCCACAATTAACACTTCCAGAGGGAAAGATCTAAACCCTTAGGCATTCCTTGGAAGCTTAAGTTCAAAACTCATCCTAAGTTCCATCTCAAATAAGCCTTTTAATACCACTGCCTTACTCCCCCTTAATGCCCCCAAAGGAACTCCTCCCAAAGGAACAGAGTACCCTTCCCAGACACAGGCTCCCATCACAGTACCTGTAAGACTTTCTACATCTCAGTCATTCCCATTCTTCCTTAAACTTATGCATATGTACTCTTAGCAACTAGCTTCATAAATATTGAATAATTCAGAAAATGGATTAAAGGGAAGTACTGAAGCAAATGGGAAAACTTACTCTTCAACATGTGTTGGAACCTGCAGAACTGGATCTGTGTAAAAGAACAAAGGCATCATCAGACAGACTCTAAAATACCAGGATTCCTAGAGAGTTCTCAGGACCAGTTCACAAGCTGTACCGATAACTTAAATTTACCTACATGAGATAACATACGTGAAGGCACTTTAGAAAACACACACACAGAAATGTAAATGTAAGCTCTTATGACTGTCCCTGAGACTGGATAGAGAGCTGACAGCGAAATGGAACAACTGTTAAGAAACGTGCAGATAACTCAGGGAACGAACAGAGGAAGAAGAACCAGTCACAGTCCATAGTGGATAGTGGCTCCACAGTGTCACTACCTGACACATCAGGGACTTGTAAAACCTAAATCAATACCTTGCCAAACACTTGGAGAGGTACTAGATATTCCCATCAGGGAAAGCAAAAACCGTGGCCTAAGAATCAATCTTGCTGTTGATGAGAATTTGACTAGGTAGAAAATGGATGCACCCCTTTGGGGCAGCAATATGGCGATCTTAGAGCCCGCAAGTGTTCATCCTCCTGATTCTACAAAGTCTACTATAAAAATAACACAAAATACAGAAAATGTTTCCTGTGCAAAGATGCTCATGATTGCATTACAAATGACCTAAACTATTCAGGAAAATGGTTAAATTATGAAATGTCCACTTACAAGAAAATTAGGGCTCCTTAAAAAACTTATAAAATTTTAAAAACATGTACAAATCTCTATATTATTATGTTTAGGAGAAAAGATAACATTGTCCATAGAGTATTCATGCAGCTAAGGAGAAAACCTTCAAAGCACATGGAAAAAAGTACATGCAGAGGCAAAGAATGCTAATTGTAAGTTATCTCGGTTGGAAATATAAGTGACTCTCCCACCTCCTCTCTATTTCCCCAAATTTCTACAAAAGTAGGCATTACTTTTTAAATTATGAAAAAGTTTTTTTCTCAAAGTCAATGATATATTTGCAGTTGTCAAAATGGCAGAATTCCTCCTTCCGTATGTCCTCCCCAGCACAAATCCAGAAGATGCGTCTGATCCCTTGGTGTGGACGGTAGTTGGGGAGAGAGGCCGCTGACACCGCAGTGCCGTGACAGAGCTGAAACCCACAGGCATGAGATGGCACAGTAATGAGGTATTTCTAGCAATCAAAAACCCCACGGGGAGCCCTGGCTGGTGTGTCTCAGCTGGCTGGAGCACCATTCCACAAACCGGAAGGTTGTGGGTTTGATTTCCAGTCAGGACACATACATGGGTTGAGGGTTCGATCCCCTGTCGTGGTATGTACGAGAAGGCAGCCCAATCGATGTCTCTCGCACATCGCTGTTTCTCTCTCCCCCACCCCCTTTCTCTTTCTCTAAAAGCAATTAAAAAATGTCCTCAGGTGAGGTAAAAAATTTAAAATCCCCATGGGCTGTACAGCCACACCATCCACAACTTCAAAGCTGGGAATGAGGATAGCAAATATTGTGATATGATTCTGGACACAGAGTTCCAGGCCCTGCAGCTCTGCCTACGGTGACAGGCAGCTAATTCTCCCAGTCAGCTGGGACTATCAGACAAAGAAAGCTCTTTCAAGCCTTATCTTTTGTTGACTTTGCTTTACAAGCCCAGCCCCTACATGAAGGCATACAGTGTTCACAACTACAGAAGTACACACACCACATGTAGTCCGTAGGCAGCAAATAAACAATTCATTAAACAAAAACATTTTAGGAAACAGGAAAAGCTTCCAGTCAGTAAGCATATGTTTGTTGTTCCCATTAGTCGCCTCTCAGTAAAGGCTCACAAACAGACTGATGCAAGAGACAGGAAATCAGGGCACGTGGCGCTCACCCCACTGAAACAGCCAAAGTGCCGCGGCAGCCTGGTTACTTGAGCGCAGCCCTGCGGCCAGGAAAAGCAAGAATGCCAGACCCCAAAGCAAGCACAGCTGTCAAGAGCGCACGCATCTTTTTGGTTTGTTCCAGAGGAAGAGGACACTGCCAAATTCTAGCAAGTCACCAGAAACAAGCCATGGAGACCAATAGGATTTCAATTTCTGTTCGAAAGTCTATCTTTGTTGTACAGTGCTTGCTCACTCTCAGGGACTCATCTTCAGGTGCGGATTTTCCTGGTTTTCTAGAGTTTATCCACTGGTCACCTGACATGGAGGTCTCAGGTCCCCAAATACCCTGCACCAGAAAGGTTCCAGGCTGTCACCGGCAGGAGCCAGGAAGGGATGGGTGGGACAAGAGCACAGATGTTTGAGGACCACGCTGTTTGTCAGGCTAAGGAGGAGCCGCGCTCCAGTAAGAGCACCTTCTGGCCATCCTAGCATGCCCATCCACTCGGCAGCACGGGGCCCGCAACACACACCTGCAGAACTCCAGGCCACACAACAGCACAGCCATGAAGACAGCTCTCCCAGAGGCAGGCAAACAGCTACCTTCTTGTCCTTAAATCATTTGAATTTGAGATCTGCTTTAAAATACTACAGAAAAAAAATCGTGTGGAGGAACAGATAAAAGAAAAACAAATGGCAGCCTGTTGATAACTGTTTAAAGATGAATATGATAACATGGGGCAGTCATTCGACTGCGCTCTCTACATATATATGCTTGAAATTTTCCATAATATAAAAGGTTAAAGATAAAAAACATTGGGAAAGCCAGCAAGCTAAAAGCAAAAAGCATCATTTGAAAACATGCAATGAAAGCCCAGCACGAAAAGGTGATTCTTTTTGATTTAACAATGGGAACTGGTATCAGGCAAGATTCTTGTTTAAAAAAAAAAAAAAAAATTCAGCCATGAGAAAAGAAACTTGGCCTAACTATAAGAATATAAACAAATACTGCCACAAAATAAGCCACTCTATCTATATAGAGGCTGATAAGGACAAAAGCTGTTTTACTTTCACAAAGGAAAAAAAAGGGGGTTACTTCACAAGTATAAAAAGGGGTGTTATTCCAGCTGAAAGTAAGGATATCAGGTAAAGGAAAAAATATCAGAAGAGGAGAAAATGGCTAAATGGCTGAAATTTGTGACTGGTTTCCTGGGTTAACATGGGAAGAAACGAACCTGCTCAGTGCTTCCCTGGGAGCAGCCACGGGACTCGACCTGACACCCCTGGCGGGTCAGGCCCGAAAAGGTGCAACCTTTACACCTGGAGGAACCTGGGTGAGATTATGGGACACGCATTGTTCCTGCTTTGTGCTAATCTAATGCTCCTTTTTACTTGAGACAGAAGTCACTCAAAATAGATGTTCACATCTTCCCTTTGCCTAAGTTATGAGGGTAAAAATTTAAATATTTTTGCCTCCAAAAGAAGTGCTAGCCTCCTTGTTTTCTTAGAATACTGCCAAGTATGCCCCCGCCCCAGAGCCTTCGCATTTGCTGTTTCCTCTGCTTAGGTCTTCGATCAAATGTCACCATCTCAGAGAGGTCTTCCTTGACCACCTCCAACCCGTCAGGATTCCTTAACCTCTTCCCTGCTTAATTTTTCTCCATGATGCTTACTGCCTCAAAGTACAGTTTATTTTATTTTATTTAAGGCCTAACTCTAGCCACTGTAAACTTTGTAAGGGCTGGCATTCATCTTTTTTTGTCTGTTATATCCCAGAAATCTAATAAAACAGTGCCTGACACACAGGAGGAGCTCAATATATTTGTTAGTTTCCTTCCTATTTCTATTCCTGCCCCACATGGATATCCATCGTTCATTACTTCTAATAGTTCAGCAACTATGCTCTGTCAACCCTCAATCCAGAATCTATGCAGCATCCCCACTTCCTTCACAGAGCCTCTGAGCACTGCTGAAGAAAATGCTACACTCACACTGGGAGATACCATTATACATCTATGGCCAGCTGGGCCCCATGTCAGAGGAGGTAAGTCTATCCACTTCTGGTTGGCTTCTGCTCCCTGTTCCTTGCAGCTGGTGTTTCAAACCTTCGCTCCTGGCCTCAAGGTCCCCCTTCTCTCCACTCTGGACTCAGCCTCCTGTGGCACAGGGGGGCAGAGTGAACCCTCTGAAACTTCCTACCCTTCACCCTCCAACTGTGCCCAACTCCACCACTCTTCCCTTCACATCTCTATAAAAGGACAATGGTTTCACCTTCATATTCGTAGATATTCCACACTCATCGATCTAAGCCTCCAAGCAGTATCCTGTCTCCAAGGATCTTCAAGTCCCCATGGCTGGCTCACTCCTCCCTCTGCCTCTGACGCACCAAACCTCCGGGCTCCCCTTCTCCCTTTCGCACATGCTCTCCTTTCTCTCCTCATGGATCCACTTTATGTGTGCAGTTCAATGAGTCTTGGAAAATGAACACATGCAGGTAACCACCCTCACAATCAGGATATAGATTATGTCCATCCCCCTGAACATTTCTCATACCCCTATGGATGCAATATCCTTGATTCCTACGCTATGTAACCACTAATGGATTCATTGTGTTTGATCTAAAATTTCACAAATGGATTTCATACAGTAGGGTCTCTTTCTTTTGTGTCTGGCTTCTTTCTTCCTGCATCATGTTTTTGACATTCATTCATGTCGTTGCATGCATCATATTCTGTTCTCTTTCTATGGCAGAAGAGTACTCCATTGTATGGATAGATCACAATTAACTGTTGATGAACATTTGGGTATTTCTAGTTTTGGGCTGGAAAAATGCGAATGAAGCTGCTATAAATATTTGTGTACAAGTCTTTGTTTGGACCTGTATTTTCATTTCTGTTAGGAAAATACCTAGGAGTAGAAAGCCTAAGCCTTTATATACTATTTACGTTAGGCTTGACAGGAAACTGCCAAACAGTCCTCCAAAGTGGTAGTACTACTTCACAACTCCACCAGCAATTCACAAGTTACCCACAGTTTTTAAAATGTTGATTTCTAGGTTGTTCCCCAGGGAGCTGCTTCTGGAGGTAGGCTTGCATTTCTCCTACATGCTGGGCAATTCCGACCTGAGCCATCCTAGGAAATGGCTGCTCTGGATCCTCTGTTTTACCTTCTTGTCTTCTGTGCCTTTCGCAAC